TAATACCTCTGCCCGTGTACGACCTCACAAATTTAAATTCAGCCTTCCCACGCAGCTGGGTGCCACGTGCGTCCCATAAAAGTTTTGGCGGAGAAATTGTTATCTCATAAACCACAAAAGCTCGGAAGTTAGAATTCGTGCGGTAATGTCCCTTACTTAACTACGACCTCGAAAACTCAAATTCAACTTCACGTACGCCTGAATACCGCATGCGATGATACTTTGAAAGTTTTGCCGGGAAAAATGATTACCTTGGGGCCACGAAAGTTAGAAAACTGAAATTTTTGGGTAGTGTCCCCTACCCACGTGCGACCAAGTAAATTCATATTCAGCTTTCACGCAGGCTTGAGTCTCAGCGTCTTCAGGAAGGTTTTGGCGGGGAAAACTCAGCTCGGGAGCCAAAAGAGTTAGGGGGCTGAAAATTTCGGGAGGACGTTTTCTGCCTATGAAGGCGCCTCACAAAATTAAGTTTAGTTCGAAAGCGTGGCGAGGTCTTTAGTACGATTACGTGAAAGTTTTGGCGCGGAATTCACTCGAGAGTTGGAAAATTAGGTTGAAATTTAGGCAGTTACAGTAACTCGGCTCGGCTCATACACAAGGCGCGAAAAATTTTTTCTGTTGATAGGGCTGACCCACGGCGGATAACGGCAATTTGAATGTGGGAGGTGGAAGTAGGGGTGGTATGTGGCGGGTTTCGTTCGAGGCAGTGGAGGGAGGCTAGGATAGGTGAATGTAAGGACCAAATGGTGTAGATCCTCTACCTGTTAACTAAGTAACATATATTTGTGGGGAAAGGGGAGCGGTGAAAATCGGGAAGGGTGAAGAATTGTGCTTCTGGGACTTCCCTTTTTATGAAACTGATGCTTAGGTAAAGTTGTTCCACAAAAACCCGTCATCACTAGGGAACTCTTCTATTTGTGAAACTGATGCTTAGGTAAAGCTGTTCCACAAAAGCCCCTCATTAGGCTTCCCTATTTATGAAACTAATGCCTAGGTAAAGTTAAGAGCTAATAAGTTCCATGAAGTGAGCAAGGGCACAGTAGACTGGACGCACTGGGATGAAGTCAGCCTTCACTTCTGTGAGATTTTGAAGGCAAAAAAACAAAGGTATAACTGTTGTGCACAGTTGCAGACTGCAAAAGGCAACACTGTGAAATTGTCTGCAATTCTTGCGTAATTCAACTAGACTTATTTGCCCTCAGCTTCACCTGAGCATAAGTTTCAGTAAATCCTGTCGAAATTATTTGCCCCCAGCTTCACCTAAGCAAAGCTTCAGTAAATCCTGTCGAACTTATTTGTCCTCAGCTTCACCTAAGCATAAGTTTCAGTAAATGAATTCCTTTTATTCACAAATTCAGGTTTGTTTTACTTTTCTTTGTAGTGCCGTGTTGGTTTATTTTCCTCTTTATTGCTATCTGCAATTCTTGCTTCAAACTCCTCACTAGCAGCCTTCTTTTCCTCTTGTATCCTGTTTCCAACCCCAGCCTCCAGAGCCACATCGGGGCACCCACCACCTCGAACCACTGTCGCCGTTTATCGTTCTAAACTCCTAACCAGCAACTTCATTCTTCCTCACTATCCCAGTCTCATTCGCGCCCTCTGACCTGTATC